AGCAGGAATATGCATGAGCTTGGTACCACCTGCAGACAAGCCGGGACTTCTCCTGCTAGCCAGACATGCTCTCCTCCTCAGCATTATTCATCCCGGGGCAGGAAGCCCTGGTCAATTTGAACCAGCAACTGGCATGAAGTTAAATTGAATGGAGTGACCAAGAAGCACAGTTTGTTCAGGTGTAAGAACCTGGGACAGACCCAGGCATGGGGTGTTGTATGGGCTGTGGGGGCTCCATGGTCTATAAAAACCATCTCAGCAAAGAAAGTGGATTTTTCCACATGTTTCTGCATTTCAGACCCTTTCACAATTACACAGAGCTGAACACCAGCAGGGAAGACCCGTGTACCTGCATGGATGGGGACTAGGGGCAGAAGCTGCCTGTGAAGGCAGGTGTAATGTTCTTGAGATCCTCAGTTTAGGGGTCTCACCATGTCGGACACATCCACAGTTGCACCTTCCTGGCTTTCCTACCCAAAGCAACGCAGCTCCCAGGAGCGTGTTCAACCATCCCATTAATCCAGGAGGAAGCAGGCTGTTAATGTTAATAGTTTGATCCTCCTCCACAGATCACATCCTGCTAGGACAGTCTTGAAACTACATGTATGTAGTATGTCTTTAAACTACAAGCTGTGCCTTAAAGCCTTTAGCATAAAAGGTCTCAAACCAGGACAGGACCTAACCAAAACCAACACTGCTAGCAAAAAATACTGCACTTTTTGGAGAAATTATTATTAAGAAACAGGGTCAGGCTTTGAAAGATTTAGTCATCAGGTCAGGCTGATCCCAGGACCTGTGGGGAAAAGTGGGTTTTGCTAGAGAAGGAACTAAACAGCAGCAGGCAAGAGCAATGAAAAATTGACGGGAGAGGCTTGAGAAAAGTACTTAAAAATAGAAGCCTTTAATGCTTCGAAAAGATTATGGAATAAAAATCACCCTCAGTTCCCACACGAGTTCCTATTGATTTGATCAGCTGAATTACACTACATTATTATAACTACAAGTTTTTCCACTATCGCTATGCTGGGGAATTTCCTGGTGGCAGCTGCATGAGAGGGTTGGTTGTATAATACATCCTTGTCAATGGGGCACAGGCCTCTATGCCAGAGTGGCACGGCCTGGCCTCCAACATGATCTCAAAGGGCAGCAGATGCTTTGGGCAATTACAGCTCAGATTCCCCAGAATTTTCCCAAATGTGCAATTACAACCCACAGCCCGGGTTGGGAAAAGAGCCTGAGGGGACCGCTCCAGCCTGGAGGAGACAGGAAGGTGGGTGGCACACATCTCCAGCATGATCCCACATAGCTGGCTTGTTCTGACGCCGCTGTGGGTGCTGGTGCCCTCCTTCCCTGCCATTCGTTACTGCTGCTCCCAGGACAAAGCCCCAGAGACCGCAGATGTGCCCTGCCCCGATGATCGCTTGCCCTTGGATGCACCCAGCCCTGGGAAATCCGGCTGCCCACGGGAGGCTGCACTGTGCTGGCTCATCAAACACAGCAAGGTTTTCAAGTAAAGGCATGAGTGGTTTAGCTATTTATTAAAGAGGAAGGTGCTCGACCTGCCTTCACTCCTTAGTATGCATGAAAAAGTCACATTACCGTGACGCACCTTCTCCTTCAGATGAATGAAATCCCATTGCTTCACCAGCTCCTGGGCTCCTCACTGCACTTTGCAGTGTGCAGAGTGGCAGAAGATACCACAGTGTCATTCAGCAATGAAACGACCAGCATTAGCATCTTCTGAAAAAAATGGGATGCTTCAGTCTTTGGCAAACTCAGGCAGATTCTGTTTTGCATTTTATAGCGACGGTACTGGCTGGAGAGGCCTCAGGCAGGACAAATGTAGGATCAGACTCTCCCAAATAGTCCTTTGCACTCAGAAGACCAGATGCCTGTCGCAGGAGAACGCCAGCAGGAGAGGCCAGGAGAAGGGGCAGGGGTGCAGCGGCTCTGGGACTCAGGCAGAGAGGAGCAGAGGAAGCTGCTGCTTCTCAGCCAGCTCTGGGACGGAGACCAGGCCCAGGGCCAAGGGAAAGGCTGTGACACATCCTCCTGTCTTTTCCTTCCAACTCCATCCACTGCCCCTTCCTGCCTGCTTCCCTGCTCTCCACCACTCTTCTGCCCAAAACTGTCATTCCCACCCCAGGTGCAGGGCAGTCACTGTGTCCCCTGCTGCTGTGACAGCAAGGAGATGCTGGCTGCGAGCATGTGGGAGGCAGATTATTTTCTCTTATTCTGAGCCTCACATGGATCCATGCCTGGGCTTTCTCTTAGAGGAAAGAATTCCTTGGCTGTGCTGTGCCTTCAGGGATATGACCCAGCTGGGAAGGGGCTGAGGGAAGTCGCTTCTTCTCTCCCGTGCTTTCTCCCTCTGTCCCATCTGGTCTAAATGCTGGATTTAGGCAGAGCTGCACCTGCCACAGATGCAATGGGGCAAAGGTGGGAGACACGGGGCAGGGCTTGGGGTGCGCAGGACGCCAGCACCTCTCTCACTTAGCCACACCGCAGCAACTCGTGATGTGTTTCTCTTCCCAAGAACCAGA